TTGGTAGGTTGGGTTGGTAGGTTGGGTTGGTAGGTTGGGTTGGTAGGTTGGGTTGGTAGGTTGGGTTGGTAGGTTGGGTTGGTAGGTTGGGTTGGTAGGTTGGGTTTGGTAGGTTGGGTTGGTAGGTTGGGTTGGTAGGTTGGGTTGGTAGGTTGGGTTGGTAGGTTGGGTTGGTAGGTTGGGTTGGTAGGTTGGGTTGGTAGGTTGGGTTGGTAGGTTGGGTTGGTAGGTTGGGTTGGTAGGTTGGGTTGGTAGGTTGGGTTGGTAGGTTGGGTTGGTAGGTTGGGTTGGTAGGTTGGGTTGGTAGGTTGGGTTGGTAGGTTGGGTTGGTAGGTTGGGTTGGTAGGTTGGGTTGGTAGGTTGGGTTGGTAGGTTGGGTTGGTAGGTTGGGTTGGTAGGTTGGGTTGGTAGGTTGGGTTGGTAGGTTGGGTTGGTAGGTTGGGTTGGTAGGTTGGGTTGGTAGGTTGGGTTGGTAGGTTGGGTTGGTAGGTTGGGTTGGTAGGTTGGGTTGGTAGGTTGGGTTGGTAGGTTGGGTTGGTAGGTTGGGTTGGTAGGTTGGGTTGGTAGGTTGGGTTGGTAGGGTTGGGCTAGCGACACAGGGTAGTAGACTGGTATTTAAATGTGCATGTCATTTCATTGGATCAAATAGATTAAAGACTGGATGATTTAGAGACATTCTAGAGAGGGGTCACACAGTATTGTAAGGTCTTCAGAACAATGTAATCGTACACAGTATTGTAAGGTCTATAGAAAATGTAATCGTACACAGTATTGTAAGGTCTATAATTGTACACATCATTTGAACGGCCAATACAAAAAGTTAGTATTACAACTTATTTATTAGCTGAGCACAAAATGTAATATTACACATATAAGAATGCAGACAAAAATCGATGAAAAATTTCAGCGGAACAGATGTTGACGACATTGTTGACATTCCACACCACGCTGAGTGTGGCGCGTGCTCAGGGCGAACGTTTCATTGGCTGTTAGCGGTGAGCGGTTTACATTGTAGGCCGGGCCAAAGACAGCACACGTGCGGACGGTGGTATTGTGTTAAATTAAAATAACTTGAATGTGCTGTGAGGTCAAGGTTGTTTTGTTGCGGCGTGTGGGGTCAGGGTCGTACCTGTCTCTGGGGTGGGGTGGGGTGGGGGGCGTCTGTAGATCACGTGGCTAATGGGTCAGTAGGTCACCCGGGTCTGCATGGACAGAAGACCAGAGTGACGTCACACGATGCTAGAGCCGATCTGCTTGATTTGTTTCCGTTTGGGGTCAGATGGGGGGGGGGGGGAATGGGAGGGGGTTGTGTGAGGATGGGTGTGTGAATGGGGTGGATGTGTGTGTGTTTTAGGGTGGGGGATGGGAGGGGGTTGTGTGAAGATGGGTGTGTGAATGGGGTGGATGTGTGGAGGTGGGGGGGGGGGTGAAAGTCCCATCTGTAGTCTTTAAAATGGCGGTAACTCTAGATATTTTAAGGCAATTCATATAAAAATATTAATACCCTTTTAATTAAAAATTTTCGTCTGTAAAATCAACTTTTCTCCTAATAGAATAATGAAATAGTAGAAAAACAACTGGCGGCCCCATGTGTGTTGGGTACAAAAAGATGATGACCTAGAAAACTAACTCTATGTTTTGAGAGAACGGACCCGTAAGGATGATTTTAGATTTTAGAACTAAAACACATCCACTCTACTCACTCTGTATGTGATTGAACTGCAACTCAGATACTATGGTATCGTTTAGTGTGAACTTTAACAGTTTCGATTACTGTAGTACCGCTTGATGTCACGCTTAAGATATTCGATTACTACGGTATCGTTTAGTGTCCCTGTGTCAAGACACCTCGAGTTGTGTCGTCGTAATGTGCGATACCACATACCCGCACATTTTCGCGAATTATGAATTAATTAGAAATTAATTAGAGATGTGGCTAGAATGGAACATGTCCTAAGGGCAGATGATTCTAGAGCGTGACCCACATGTGCGAGTGTACCTAGACATGAACTCGATTCTAATTGGTCGGTGATTACCCAGCATAGGTGAACATTAGACAGACAACAAATTGTCAGTCTGGCCTCTCTGTCGGTCTGTCGGTCTGTCATGACGTGCTGCATGCGGGTGTAAGACAAAAGGTGAGTGACGTCAGCTACCAGACGACATCACGTAATGACAAGGTACCGAGGTAAGGTTAGAAAATCGATATGGTTGACTGATCATACGTTGAGGTGGTAGGTGTGGGGGGAGTGTATTATGGAAGTGAGAAAAAGGGAGGTGAGACAAGAAAGGTGAGACAAGAGAGGTGAGACAAGAGAGGTGAGACAAGAGAGGTGAGACAAGAGAGGTGAGACAAGAGAGGTGAGACAAGAGAGGTGAGACAAGAGAGGTGAGACAAGAGAGGTGAGACAAGAGAGGTGAGACAAGAGAGGTGAGACAAGAGAGGTGAGTGGAGAGGTGAGACAAGAGAGGTGAGTGGAGAGGTGAGACAAGAGAGGTGAGACAAGAGAGGTGAGACAAGAGAGGTGAGACAAAAGAGGTGAGACAAGAGAGGTGAGACAAGAGAGATGAGACAAGAGAGGTGAGACAAGAGAGGTGAGACAAGAGAGGTGAGACAAGAGAGGTGAGATAAGAGAGGTGAGTGGAGTGAGACAAGAGAGGTGAGTGGAGAGGTGAGACAAGAGAGGTGAGACAAGAGAGGTGAGACAAGAGAGGTGAGACAAGAGAGGTGAGACAAGAGAGGTGAGACAAGAGAGGTGAGACAAGAGAGGTGAGACAAGAGAGGTGAGTGGAGAGGTGAGACAAGAGAGGTGAGTGGAGAGGTGAGACAAGAGAGGTGAGACAAGAGAGGTGAGTGGAGAGGTGAGACAAGAGAGGTGAGACAAGAGAGGTGAGACAAGAGAGGTGAGACAAGAGAGGTGAGTGGAGAGGTGAGACAAGAGAGGTGAGACAAGAGAGGTGAGTGGAGAGGTGAGACAAGAGAGGTGAGACAAGAGAGGTGAGACAAGAGAGGTGAGACAAGAGAGGTGAGACAAGAGAGGTGAGACAAGAGAGGTGAGACAAGAGAGGTGAGACAAGAGAGGTGAGTGGAGAGGTGAGACAAGAGAGGTGAGTGGAGAGTGAGACAAGAGAGGTGAGACAAGAGAGGTGAGACAAGAGAGGTGAGACAAGAGAGGTGAGACAAGAGAGGTGAGACAAGAGAGGTGAGACAAGAGAGGTGAGACAAGAGAGGTGAGTGGAGAGGTGAGACAAGAGAGGTGAGTGGAGAGGTGAGACAAGAGAGGTGAGACAAGAGAGGTGAGTGGAGAGGTGAGACAAGAGAGGTGAGACAAGAGAGGTGAGACAAGAGAGGTGAGACAAGAGAGGTGAGACAAGAGAGGTGAGACAAGAGAGGTGAGACAAGAGAGGTGAGACAAGAAAGTGAGACAAGAGAGGTGAGACAAGAGAGGTGAGACAAGAGAGGTGAGACAAGAGATAGGAGAGGTGAAATATAAAAACTTACGAAGAGCGGGTGGGGATGGAGGACTTTGCAGAAGGGAAGATGAATGAGGTCCACAGTTAACCTGTGTATAACGGGGGGGGGGGGAGTGTAAAATGGATGGGGGGGGGAGTGGTAAAAGACGAGTAATACACAAATCACAGGATGAGGTAAAAAAAACTGCGTTAATTTTGTTGACTTAGAGATGGTATATGACGTCACGTGACTTGTTTTCTCTAAATGATGGATGGAACAATCCCCCCTCCCCCTGCCCCTTACCCCCATAAAACATTCGTTGAGTGCCGCATGTTTCTTTAATTAGAGTACTTGAGATGGAAATGATGGTCCTCCTGGCTCAAATAAAAAATGATGAACTTCAAATTGAGTTGGGCTACAAATCTAGTAGGAATATTCGTTGAGGAACCGCTGCAATTATATCCTGGGGTCAAGGGTCAAGTGCACCAGACGATAACAGGTACCAAGTGTTCTCACACACCGTCAAGGTACCCCAGCCTGTAGCAGTCTGTTTATGACGTCACCCTAGGTACCTTAACCTGTAGCAGTCTTTTTATGACGTCACCCTAGGTACCTTAACCTGTAGCAATCTTTTTATGACGTCACCCTAGGTACCCCAACATGTAGCAGTCTGTTTATGACGTCACCCTTTCGTCACTACGACACTGGTCATTGAAAGATAAAACTAAATCATGGTACGACACGATTGTAATCTACCCGACACGACACAACCCGACACGACACAACCCGACACGACACAATATCTGACCTGACGTCTGCTATTGACCACCTGCTGTTAGTTCCCCACCCCTGCACCACATGTGGTTTATACAACCACACAACACAATTATATGCCAGTTGGGGGAGGGGAGGGAGGCCCGACATCTAAATTGTTTTTAACATAAAATACCATCTAATATAAAGATAAAATCAACTAAAATACCATCTAATATAAAGATAGAATCAACTAAAATACCATCTAATATAAAGATAAAGAAAATCAACTAAAATACCATCTAATATAAAGATAAAATCAACTAAAATACCATCTAATTTAAAGATAAAATCAACTAAAATACCATCTAATATAAAGATAGAATCGACTAAAATACCATCTAATATAAAGATAAAGAAAATCAACTAAAATACCATCTAATATAAAGATAAAATCAACTAAAATACCATCTAGTATAAAGATAAAATCAACTAAAATACCATCTAATATAAAGATAGCGAAAATCAACTAAAATACCATCTAATATAAAGATAATAAATATCAACTAAAATAGCTCTATAGCACCCGATGAATGTGTAAAGTTATCAACTCTCAACTCGACGAATTATTCAAAGCTAAACAAAAAGGCCTTTCGTGCCCCCCCCCCCCTCAATTTAAAGCCCTGGGGTTAGCCCCGGCCACATCCCCGCATTAGTTCATTCAGTGGCACCCCAGCAGTCGTGGCCTGTGTCTGCTCTCATTTACATCCGCCATTTTCTTCAAGGTCGAGTCATGCTGGGGTCAGAGGTTACCGATGGCCACAAGCTTGCTGCTCCACCAAACCTCACTGCTCCACCAAACCTCGCTGCCCCACCAAACCTCACTGCTCCACCAAACCTCGCTGCCCCACCAAACCTGGATGCTCCACCAAACCTGGATGCTCCACCAAAGCTGGATGCTCCACCAAACCTCACTGCTCCACCAAACCTCACTGCTCCACCAAACCTCGCTGCCCCACCAAACCTCACTGCTCCACCAAACCTGGATGCTCCACCAAACCTCACTGCTCCACCAAACCTCGCTGCCCCACCAAACCTCGCTGCCCCACCAAACCTGGATGCTCCACCAAACCTCACTGCTCCACCAAACCTCGATGCTCCATCGACACTGTTGACACTGACTTGACCTTTGACCTAGGGGTTCACGAGAGGCCTGGGTCGCTTAAGCCACACTAGGATGACGTCACCAACATGACGTCACTGACTTGGTTAATTCACTTTTGGATTCTCGAAATTTGTCAAAATCATAACACTGCATTCACCCCCCCTCTCCCGCCCCACTTGACCTCCCGGCCTGTGTTCCAGCCGAGTGTATTAGCATGCGGTCACGTGACTGGAATAATATTTGCAGCATCGATCCGTCTGTTCGGGTCTCCACCCGCCGTCTTACCCTGGAGAGGTGGGGGTGGAGGAGTGGGGGAGGGGGGGGGGTCTGGGGGTCAGCTTGAAGTGTATTGTTGGTCTATGCCGGATGACTTTATTAAATCGATCATCCAACAAATGTTGTATGACTTCTTCCAACAAATTATGACATCATCCAACGTAGCTGTATAAAATCACCCAGCAAATGTCGTATGAAATCATCCAACAAATGTCGTATGAAATCACCCAGCAAATGTCGTATGAAATCACCCAGCAAATGTCGTATGAAATCATCCAACAAATGTCGTATGAAATCATCCAACAAATGTCGTATGAAATCACCCAGCAAATGTCGTATGAAATCATCCAACAAATGTCGTATGAAATCATCCAACAAATGTCGTATAAAATCATCCAACAAATGTATGAAATCATCCAACAAATGTCGTATGAAATCATCCAACAAATGTCGTATAAAATCATCCAACAAATGTCGTATGAAATCATCCAACAAATGTCGTATGAAATCATCCAACAAATGTCGTATGAAATCATCCAACAAATGTCGTATGAAATCATCCAACAAATGTCGTATGAAATCATCCAACAAATGTCGTATAAAATCACCAAGCAAATGTCGTATGAAATCATCCAACAAATGTCGTATGAAATCATCCAACAAATGTCGTATGAAAGCATCCAACTAACCAGTCAAACAGTGTCGATTGTGATGGCTTTAGATTGTCCGGCCTGTTCCACTTGGAATGGTCGCGTCGCTCAACTTTTTGTCTGGCCACCTCAGAAATCAATACATTCTTCATTTTCTAAAATGGCATCAATCATGTCCAATCGATAGGTTTGAACTTCGTGACATGGACAGCATATGCGGGCATTGGGCGCAGCTAACACAAAACCTCCAACATGGCGACGGTTGTATGACCACGTGTCACGTGATGTTTATTTTTAGGTTTTTTTAAAATCAGGTTGAAAATTGTGTGTGTGTGGGTGAGTGGATTACCGGCCCCTGGTGCACGTGCTGACACTGACATTCCATGACAGACATGTGGTACACACGTGGTAAATGTCACATGAAAACTAGGACAAATGTCACCTGTACCAGATGTCATGTTGCATGAGTTTTGAAAGGACGGATGGGTGGGTGTGTGGATTAATGAGTGTGTGGGTGGGTGGATGGGTGGGTGGGTGGATGGATTAATGGGTGTGTGGGTGGGTGGATGTGTGGGTGGGTGGGTTAATGAGTGTGTGGGTGGGTGGATGGGTGGATGGGTGGATGGATTAATGGGTGTGTGGGTGGGTGGATGTGTGGGTGGGTGGGTTAATGAGTGTGTGGGTGGGTGGATTAGGTGGGTGGATGGATGGATGGATTAATGGGTGTGTGGGTGGGTAGATTAATGGGTGTGTGGGTGGGTGGATGTGTGGGTGGGTGTGTGGATGGGTGGGTGGATGGGTGGGTGGGTGTGTAGATTAATGAGTGTGTGAGTGGGTGGATTAATGGGTGTGTGGGTGGGTGGATGGGTGGGTGGGTAGATCGATTAATGGGTGTGTGGATTAATGGGTGTGTGGGTGGATGGGTATGTGGGTGGATGGGTATGTGGATGAATGGATGGATGGATGGATGGATGGATGGATGGATGGATGGATGGATGGATGGAGGAGGGGCCACGGGAGGGAGGGGCCAGCCAACTTTGACGTAATTATTCTATTTAAAACACAGGTTAATTAGAGTTAATTGGTTTCATTTAACATGTGTCTTGTCAGTGTGCACTAGTCTAAACATTTATGATCCTTGTAGAATTAACATGTGGCTAACTTTAACAGGTTAATTATTTGTGATCCTTGTAGAATTAACATATGGCTAACATAACCTGTTAATTTCCAACACTTGACTCGCTCCAACATGTTAACGTTGAACAATTGGCTAATGTTGACCTGTTAAGTTTGTACGTTTCGCTGAAGGACTAGCATTTAGCCTGTTGCCTCCCCCCTCCCCCTTGTTAAATGCATGAGGTACCTCAGGTTTATAGATGAAGAGTGTGAGAGAGGCTGTGTGATGGTAGGATAGTGAGCGACGACTGTGAGGGTTTGCGTGTGAGTTTGTGTTCGGGTTTGTGTGTGAGTTTGTGTGTGTAAACTGTCAGAACATGAAATTTAAAAAAAACCAAATACACCGACAAAATGAGAGCCGGCAGAAAATGAGAGCCGGCAGAAAATGAGAGCCGGCATAAAAAGAGAGCCGGTAGAAAACATCAGACCAGTTGTCAGCCATGTGTGTGTGTGGGGGGGGGGGGGAAGGGGGGTCGAAGGAGAGAAACTCTGGCTGCCAGTTCTTGAAGCGGTTCCTGCTGACATACAACAGTCGTGGCGTACGTCAGCCCGCGCTAATGGAAACAAAAATGTCAAAGATTGCACGCTTTGAAAATTCTTAAGGCGGAGCTAATTGGTGGCTACATTAATTATGTTAATGAGTGGAAGTTAAAACCAGGAAGGAGGAAAACCTTCCTGTTTTGATTCTAGACTTTTGTGTTGGGTCAACATTCAACATTTACGTCACTCACTCAAACACATACCCTAATTTGTATAAATACGCATATATATATATATATATATATATATATGTATATATATATATATATATATATATATATATATATATATATATATATATATATATGTATATATATATATATATATATATATATATATATATATATATATATATATATATATATATATATATATATAAACTACTATTTAACTAACGATAAAGAAAAACCAGGGGCACTATAGTATCTATATAGAATACTTCTACTAATATTTAGGAAGCGACCTACGCTTTTCATCATACTTATTAAAATAGATGTGTATTATTGTATATTTAAAGAAAAACTTTTATTTTCTACTTTTAGTGCTTAATTATACAAAAGATTGTTATAAAAACGTTTTTTATTAATTTTTTTTCCGTACTTTAAATTTTTTAAATTTACAATAGAGTTGCTTGACTAAGAAACCATTGCGCACCGATTGAACGTAATAATGCGTGTATAATAGTGCGGAATAGTTTCAATTAATTCATAATTAGGCATCCAATTTAGTCTATTTTAATGTTAGATTGCATTGTGTTCATGTCTTGTTCCACGTGCCAACTTTGAACTGAATCTGTCAGTTAGAAGTGCCCGAAATTTCGCCCCGGCGTTTCGATCTAGACCGACAGACTGTTGACAGAGGAAGCAAGTTGAATAAAAGCTTGTAAAATTGTAAAAATATTTTTCCCCAATGTAATGTTTTAAAATACAGATGACAATTTGACCTTCCACCACAGCGTTCAACCATTTACAACCAGCTACGTCACTGCTTGACCCAGAAACCCGACCATCTCATTCCGTGACTTATTTCACACCATTTGACGTCTGCTGTTTCAACACAAGTTGACATTTTAGCGCCAAACCTCACCTCCACGCCAATCGCTTTTTATCCTCTTTCTCTGTCTCTCTTTGTCTATCTGTCCGTCTGTCTATTTGTGTATCATATGGTTTTTGCGATGAACTAGGTGCTGTTTCATTGTTTTAGAACCGATTTCTAGATGGTATGTTGTAAACACGGGTCATCCACCCACTCAACCCACGGGTCGTTCACCCACGGGTCATCCACCCACTCCACCCCCGGTTCATCCACCCACGGGTCATCCACCCACGGGTAATCCACCCACTCCACCCACGGGTCATCCACCCACGGGTAATCCACCCACTCCACCCACGGGTCATCCACCCACGAGTCATCCACCCACTCCACCTACGGTTCATCCACCCACGGGTCGTCCACCTACGGGTCATCCACCCACAGGTCGTCCACCCACGGGTCACGTAAACAATGATGATATTCACCTCGACACTTATGTTACCAACCATTTGGGCGTAGGGGAAATAGAGTCGAGCTGTGGTTTCTTGTCACGGTAGTCCAGCTGCTGGGGCTGAGGGGAGCAGAGGCGAAATAAAGGTGAGCTGAGGAAAGGTGAGCTGACGTGAGCTCATGGGAGCTTAGTTAAGGGTGGATGTAGAAAAAACAGAAGATAGGTAGGGAAGGTGGGGGTCTAAGGAAATATACTCAAGTGTACAATCTTAAACACAGTTTTATATATATATATATATATATATATATATATATATATATATATATATATATATATATATATATATATATATATATATATATATATATATATAAACACATATACACATATATATATAGAGATCTGTATGTGTTTGAGGACAACGACTACCATACCGTCTCGCCCCCCCCCCCCACCTCCCCCCCCCCCCCCCCTCCATAGATCTATCATTCCGCCAGTCTGGCTACAAAATCAAATAAAAAAATGTGCTTTAGTCAACAGTCGTTTATTATCTCCTGTAGTCCGGCTAGATCCGACCAATAGTTGCCGGACACCCAGACCTATGCAGATTCTTACTTGTGGTAACCCCCCCTCTTCCCATTGTATACACCCTGCCTGTGTTATCCCCCTTCCTTAACACCCCCCCTCCCTCGATCTCCCTTGAATTACATGTTGCCGGCCAATACACGATGTTGATGTTGCCGGCCAATACACGATGTTGCCGGCCAATACACGATGTTGCCGGCCAATACACGATGTTGCCGGCCAATACACGATGTTGCCGGACAATACACGATGTTGCCGGCCAATACACGATGTTGATGTTGCCGGATGACGTTGATGTTTTATACCACAGCTCAGCAGTGAATAACGACAGAAAAAAAAAACTGTCCACAAATGAATGAGGTCAAAGGTCGCAGACGGTATTGGAGAGCTGCGAGCCACCAGGGGGAGCTGCATTAGCGGACGTCTATATTTGGTCACTGGCAGAGATGACGTTTGGTGGTTGCTAAATGAAAATAGGAGCGATCAAATGTTGAAAACATGAGATAAAAACAGGAATTACAAATTAAATATAAAATAAACAAAACAAGAAAATGCAAAAATCTGAGGCAGTGACGATAAAAAGATGAGATAACGATGTACACAGGTAACTAAAGAGAAAAAAATGATGAATATTGGAGATGAAAACATGTCTGAGTGATGTGATAACTCTATCTATAACTACAGACAGGCGGGGTAACTCCTCCATAGCCACAGACAGGCGGGGTAACTCCTCCATAGACAGGCGGGGTAACTCCTCCATAGACAGGCGGGGTAACTCCTCCATAGCCACAGACAGGCGGGGTAACTCCTCCATAGACAGGCGGGGTAACTCCTCCATAGACAGGCGGGGTAACTCCTCCATAGACAGGCGAGGTAACTCCTCCATATACAGGCGGGGTAACTCCTCCATAGACAGACGGGGTAACTCCCCCACAGACAGGCGGGGTAACTCCCCCACAGACAGGCGGGGTAACTCCTCCATAGCCACAGACAGGCGGGGTAACTCCCCCACAGACAGGCGGGGTAACTCCCCCATAACTACAGACAGGCGGGGTAACTCCCCCACAGACAGGCGGGGTAACTCCCCCACAGACAGGCGGGGTAACTCCCCCACAGACAGGCGGGGTAACTCCTCCATAACTACAGACAGGCGGGGTAACTCCCCCACAGACAGGCGGGGTAACTCCCCCACAGACAGGCGGGGTAACTCCCCCACAGACAGGCGGGGTAACTCCTCCATAACTACAGACAGGCGGGGTAACTCCCCCACAGACAGGCGGGGTAACTCCTCCATAACTACAGACAGGCGGGGTAACTCCTCCATAACTACAGACAGGCGCGGTAACTCCCCCCATAAACTAGTTTATTGATAGGACGGTGTGTGATTTATGGGCCGTCGTGCCGCCTGAGTAAAATCGATCTGTCTGGCACCGGCAAGCCGGGTCTCTGGCATTTCATTAGTCTACGTCTGTAGTGGTGTGTAGTAGTCTGTAGTAGTCTGTAGTAGTCTCTAGTAGTCTGTAGTGGTGTGTAGTAGTGTGTAGTAGTCTGTAGTAGTGTGTAGTAGTGTGTTGTCTGTAGTAGTCTGTAGTGGTCTGTAGTCGTCTGTAGTAGTGTGTAGTAGTCTGTACTAGTGTGTAGTAGTTTGTAGTAGTGTGTAGTTGTCTGTAGAAGTCTGTAGTAGGGTGTAGTAGTGTATAGTATTCTGTAGCAGTGTGTAGTAGTGTGTAGTAGTGTGTATTTTTTGTAAAGGTCTGTAGAAATATCCATGTTAGACTAGTTGATCATTTTATTTGGTGCCGGGCGGGCGGGAGGGGGGGGGGTGCGGGGTATCCAACTTAGACCCACACATCCCCAGAGATCCAAGACCCACACTGACCCACACATTCCACCAACCCCTGCCTCCTCCCCATCCCGTAACAAAGCAGCGTTTTTACCGGCTCTCCAATTAACCTATGACCCAATCAGCACAGGTCAGGCACAAATTAACCCTTCGATCGCTCACAGAACGTTTCAGTTCAGTTCACTCCAGTCGCTTGTCTCCCCCTGCTGACAGTTCACTCCAGTCACCTCCCCCTGCTGACAGTTCACTCCAGTCGCTTACCTCCCCCTGCTGACAGTTCACTCCAGTCGCTTACCTCCCCCTGCTGACAGTTCACTCCAGTCACCTCCCCCTGCTGACAGTTCACTCCAGTCGCTTACCTCCCCCTGCTGACAGTTCACTCCAGTCACCTCCCCCTGCTGACAGTTCACTCCAGTCACCTCCCCCTGCTGACAGTTCACTCCAGTCACCTCCCCCTGCTGACAGTTCACTCCAGTCGCCTCCCCCTGCTGACAGTTCACTCCAGTCGCTTGTCTCCCCTGCTGACAGTTCACTCCAGTCACCCCCCCCCTGCTGACAGTTCACTCCAGTCGCCTCCCCCTGCTGACAGTTCACTCCAGTCGCCTCCCCCTGCTGACAGTTCACTCCAGTCGCTTACCTCCCCCTGCTGACAGTTCACTCCAGTCACCTCCCCCTGCTGACAGTTCACTCCAGTCGCTTACCTCCCCCTGCTGACAGTTCACTCCAGTCACCTCCCCCTGCTGACAGTTCACTCCAGTCACCTCCCCCTGCTGACAGTTCACTCCAGTCACCTCCCCCTGCTGACAGTTCACTCCAGTCGCCTCCCCCTGCTGACAGTTCACTCCAGTCGCTTGTCTCCCCTGCTGACAGTTCACTCCAGTCACCTCCCCCTGCTGACAGTTCACTCCAGTCACCTCCCCCTGCTGACAGTTCACTCCAGTCGCCTCCCCCTGCTGACAGTTCACTCCAGTCGCTTACCTCCCCTTGGGTTCACCAATGCGCAGGTTGTTCCAACAGTTCTAGACCATATCAAACGGTTCTAGAACATGTTTTTTACATTGTTCTATAGGTTTTAAAACAAGTTCGCATTAAAAAAAAACTCTGTGGTTATAATTTTTTGAATGCACAAAAATTAAGAACAAACATTTTCTTAAAATTAAACATTAACTTCTATTATTGTAGGCCTAATGCAATACGAGTTTTTTTTTTTTATTAAGCTTTGTAATATTTACGTTTAAGTTTTTAAATTTATTTTATTATATATATTTTTATATTTTTTGTTCTCCTGTTAATTAGATAAAGACATAAAATTTAGTTGATATTTAAATTTTGATAAACCTGTTGTGCCCCATTTATTCCTTGAACTAAAATATTTGTTTGAAAACTCGCTAGCCTGTGATTTCAGTTCAACCACAATTATCTGCCCTTTAGGCGAGTCACTGATCATTTCTCAGGTATGAAAACTTGGGTGAGTACAATTTGGGTGTGTGAGACCCACTGTGTGAGACCCACTGTGTGAGACCCACTGTGTGAGACCCACTGGCTGTGTGAGACCCACTGTGTGAGACCCACTGTGTGAGATCCACTGGCTGAGACCCACTGTGTGAGATCCACTGGCTGCCTGAGACCCACTGGCTGTGTGAGACCCACTGTGTGAGACCCACTGTGTGAGACCCACTGTGTGAGACCCACTGTGTGAGACCCACTGTGTGAGACCCACTGTGTGAGACCCACTGTGTGAGACCCACTGTGTGAGACCCACTGTGTGAGACCCACTGGCTGTGTGAGACCCACTGTGTGAGACCCCCACTGACTGTGTGAGACCCACTGTGTGAGACCCACTGGCTGTGTGAGACCCACTGTGTGAGACCCACTGTGTGAGACCCACTGTGTGAGACCCACTGTGTGAGACCCACTGTGTGAGACCCACTGGCTGTGTGAGACCCACTGTGTGAGACCCACTGTGTGAGACCCACTGTGTGAGACCCACTGTGTGAGACCCACTGTGTGAGACCCACTGTGTGAGACCCACTGTGTGAGACCCACTGTGTGAGACCCACTGTGTGAGACCCACTGTCTGTGTGAGACCCACTGTGTGAGACCCCCACTGACTGTGTGAGACCCACTGTGTGAGACCCACTGGCTGTGTGAGACCCACTGTGTGAGACCCACTGTGTGAGACCCACTGTGTGAGACCCACTGTGTGAGACCCACTGTGTGAGACCCACTGGCTGTGTGAGACCCACTGGCTGTGTGAGACCCACTGACTGTGTGAGACCCACTGTGTGAGACCCACTGGCTGTGTGAGACCCACTGGCTGTGTGAGACCCACTGGCTGTGTGAGACCCACTGTGTGAGACCCACTGTGTGAGACCCACTGGCTGTGTGAGACCCACTGGCTGTGTGAGACCCACTGTGTGAGACCCACTGTGTGAGACCCACTGTGTGAGACCCACTGGCTGTGTGAGACCCACTGGCTGTGTGAGACCCACTGTGTGAGACCCACTGTGTGAGACCCACTGTGTGAGACCCACTGTGTGAGACCCACTGTGTGAGACCCACTGGCTGTGTGAGACCCACTGTGTGAGATCCACTGTGTGAGACCCACTGTGTGAGACCCACTGTGTGAGACCCACTGTGTGAGACCCACTGGCTGTGTGAGACCCACTGTGTGAGACCCACTGTGTGAGACCCACTGTGTGAGACCCACTGGCTGTGTGAGACCCACTGGCTGTGTGAGACCCACTGACTGTGTGAGACCCACTGTGTGAGACCCACTGGCTGTGTGAGACCCACTGGCTGTGTGAGACCCACTGGCTGTGTGAGACCCACTGTGTGAGACCCACTGTGTGAGACCCACTGGCTGTGTGAGACCCACTGGCTGTGTGAGACCCACTGGCTGTGTGAGACCCACTGTGTGAGACCCACTGTGTGAGACCCACTGTGTGAGACCCACTGTGTGAGACCCACTGGCTGTGTGAGACCCACTGTGTGAGATCCACTGTGTGAGACCCACTGTGTGAGACCCACTGTGTGAGACCCACTGTGTGAGACCCACTGGCTGTGTGAGACCCACTGTGTGAGACCCACTGTGTGAGACCCACTGTGTGAGACCCACTGTGTGAGACCCACTGTGTGAGACCCACTGGCTGTGTGAGACCCACTGTGTGAGACCCACTGTGTGAGACCCACTGTGTGAGACCCACTGTGTGAGACCCACTGTGTGAGACCCACTGTGTGAGACCCACTGGCTGTGTGAGACCCACTGTGTGAGACCCACTGTGTGAGACCCACTGGCTGTGTGAGACCCACTGTGTGAGACCCACTGTGTGAGACCTACTGTGTGAGACCCACTGTGTGAGACCCAGTGTGTGAGACCCACTGTGTGAGACCCACTGTGTGAGACCCACTGTGTGAGACCCACTGTGTGAGACCCACTGGCTGTGTGAGACCCACTGTGTGAGACCCACTGTGTGAGACCCACTGTGTGAGACCCACTGTGTGAGACCCACTGTGTGAGACCCACTGGCTGTGTGAGACCCACTGTGTGAGACCCACTGGCTGTGTGAGACCCACTGTGTGAGACCCACTGTGTGAGACCCACTGTGTGAGACCCACTGTGTGAGACCCACTGGCTGTGTGAGACCCACTGTGTGAGATCCACTGTGTGAGACCCACTGTGTGAGACCCACTGTGTGAGACCCACTGGCTGTGTGAGACCCACTGTGTGAGACCCACTGTGTGAGACCCACTGTGTGAGACCCACTGGCTGTGTGAGACCCACTGTGTGAGATCCACTGTGTGAGACCCACTGTGTGAGACCCACTGTGTGAGACCCACTGTGTGAGACCCACTGTGTGAGACCCACTGGCTGTGTGAGACCCACTGTGTGAGACCCACTGTGTGAGACCCACTGTGTGAGACCCACTGTGTGAGACCCACTGTGTGAGACCCACTGGCTGTGTGAGACCCACTGTGTGAGATCCACTGTGTGAGACCCACTGTGTGAGACCCACTGTGTGAGACCCACTGGCTGTGTGAGACCCACTGTGTGAGACCCACTGTGTGAGACCCACTGTGTGAGACCCACTGTGTGAGACCCACTGTGTGAGACCCACTGTGTGAGACCCACTGTGTGAGACCCACTGTGTGAGATCCACTGTGTGAGACCCACTGTGTGAGACCCACTGTGTGAGACCCACTGACTGTGTGAGACCCACTGTGTGAGACCCACTGGCTGTGTGAGACCCACTGTGTGAGACCCACTGGCTGTGTGAGACCCACTGTGTGAGACCCACTGTGTGAGACCCACTGTGTGAGACCCACTGTGTGAGACCCACTGTGTGAGACCCACTGTGTGAGACCCACTGTGTGAGACCCACTGGCTGTGTGAGACCCACTGTGTGAGACCCACTGTGTGAGACCCACTGTGTGAGACCCACTGTGTGAGACCCACTGTGTGAGACCCACTGGCTGTGTGAGACCCACTGTGTGAGACCCACTGGCTGTGTGAGACCCACTGTGTGAGACCCACTGTGTGAGACCCACTGTGTGAGACCCACTGTGTGAGACCCACTGTGTGAGACCCACTGTGTGAGACCCACTGTGTGAGACCCACTGTGTGAGACCCACTGTGTGAGACCCACTGGCTGTGTGAGACCCACTGTGTGAGATCCACTGGCTGTGTGAGACCCACTGTGTGAGACCCACTGTGTGAGACCCACTGGCTGTGTGAGACCCACTGTGTGAGACCCACTGTGTGAGACCCACTGTGTGAGACCCACTGTGTGAGACCCACTGTGTGAGACCCACTGTGTGAGACCCACTGGCTGTGTGAGACCCACTGGCTGTGTAAGACCCACTGTGTGAGACCCACTGTGTGAGACCCACTGGCTGTGTGAGACCCACTGTGTGAGATCCACTGTGTGAGACCCACTGTGTGAGACCCACTGTGTGAGACCCACTGGCTGTGTGAGACCCACTGTGTGAGACCCACTGTGTGAGACCCACTGTGTGAGACCCACTGTGTGAGACCCACTGTGTGAGACCCACTGTCTGTGTGAGACCCACTGTGTGAGACCCCCACTGACTGTGTGAGACCCACTGTGTGAGACCCACTGGCTGTGTGAGACCCACTGTGTGAGACCCACTGTGTGAGACCCACTGTGTGAGACCCACTGTGTGAGACCCACTGGCTGTGTGAGACCCACTGTGTGAGACCCACTGTGTGAGACCCACTGTGTGAGACCCACTGTGTGAGACCCACTGTGTGAGACCCACTGTGTGAGACCCACTGTGTGAGACCCACTGTGTGAGACCCACTGTCTGTGTGAGACCCACTGTGTGAGACCCCCACTGACTGTGTGAGACCCACTGTGTGAGACCCACTGGCTGTGTGAGACCCACTGTGTGAGACCCACTGTGTGAGACCCACTGTGTGAGACCCACTGTGTGAGACCCACTGTGTGAGACCCACTGGCTGTGTGAGACCCACTGGCTGTGTGAGACCCACTGGCTGTGTGAGACCCACTGTGTGAGACCCACTGTGTGAGACCCACTGGCTGTGTGAGACCCACTGGCTGTGAGACCCACTGTGTGAGACCCACTGTGTGAGACCCACTGGCTGTGTGAGACCCACTGGCTGTGTGAGACCCACTGTGTGAGACCCACTGTGTGAGACCCACTGTGTGAGACCCACTGTGTGAGACCCACTGTGTGAGACCCACTGTGTGAGACCCACTGGCTGTGTGAGACCCACTGTGTGAGATCCACTGTGTGAGACCCACTGTGTGAGACCCACTGTGTGAGACCCACTGGCTGTGTGAGACCCACTGTGTGAGACCCACTGTGTGAGACCCACTGTGTGAGACCCACTGTGTGAGACCCACTGTGTGAGACCCACTGTGTGAGACCCACTGTGTGAGACCCACTGTGTGAGACCCACTGGCTGTGTGAGACCCACTGTGTGAGATCCACTGTGTGAGACCCACTGTGTGAGACCCACTGTGTGAGACCCACTGGCTGTGTGAGACCCACTGTGTGAGACCCACTGTGTGAGACCCACTGTGTGAGACCCACTGTGTGAGACCCACTGTGTGAGACCCACTGGCTGTGTGAGACCCACTGTGTGAGATCCACTGTGTGAGACCCACTGTGTGAGACCCACTGTGTGAGACCCACTGGCTGTGTGAGACCCACTGTGTGAGACCCACTGGCTGTCTCAGACCAGTAAGTCTGAGTCTTATGATTATTTCGACACAGCGCAGAACACAATTTTGAAATTTACTGATACAATTTTCATGACCGCGCCCATGGTGTAGGGACAAAACCAACCAAGGCCCTCGGTGCCACAGGCCAACCAAGGCCCTCGGTGCCACAGGCCAACCAAGGCCCTCGGTGCCACAGGCCAACCAAGGCCCTCGGTGCCACAGGCCAAACAAGGCCCTCGGTGCCACAGGCCAACCAAGGCCCTCTGTGCCACAGGCCAACCAAGGCCCTCGGTGCCACAGACAAAACCAACCAAGGCCCTCTGTGCCACAGGCCAACCAAGGCCCTCGGTGCCACAGGCCAAACAAGGCCCTCGGTGCCACAGGCCAACCAAGGCCCTCTGTGCCACAGGCCAACCAAGGCCCTCTGTGCCACAGGCCAAACAAGGCCCTCTGTGCCACAGGCCAAACAAGGCCCTCTGTGCCACAGGCCAAACAAGGCCCTCGGTGCCACAGACAAAACCAACCAAGGCCCTCGGTGCCACAGGTAAACCAAGGCCCTCGGTGCCACAGGCCAACCAAGGCCCTCGGTGCCACAGGCCAACCAAGGCCCTCGGTGCCACAGACAAAACCAACCAAGGCCCTCGGTGCCACAGACAAAACCAACCAAGGCCCTCGGTGCCACAGGCCAACCAAGGCCCTCGGTGCCACAGACAAAACCAACCAAGGCCCTCGGTGCCACAGGCCAACCAAGGCCCTCGGTGCCACAGACAAAACCAACCAAGGCCCTCGGTGCCACAGGCCAAACAAGGCCCTCGGTGCCACAGACAAAACCAACCAAGGCCCTCGGTGCCACAGGCCAACCAAGGCCCTCGGTGCCACAGACAAAACCAACCAAGGCCCTCGGTGCCACAGGCCAAACAAGGCCCTCGGTGCCACAGACAAAACCAACCAAGGCCCTCGGTGCCACAGACAAAACCAACCAAGGCCCTCGGTGCCACAGGCCAACCAAGGCCCTCTGTGCCACAGGCCAACCAAGGCCCTCGGTGCCACAGGCCAAACAAGGCCCTCTGTGCCACAGGCCAACCAAGGCCCTCGGTGCCACAGGCCAACCAAGGCCCTCGGTGCCACAGGCCAACCAAGGCCCTCGGTGCCACAGGCCAACCAAGGCCTTCGGTGCCACAGGCCAACCAAGGCCTTCGGTGCCACAGACAAAACCAACCAAGGCCCTCTGTGCCACAGGCCAAACAAGGCCCTCTGTGCCACAGGCCAACCAAGGCCCTCGGTGCCACAGACAAAACCAACCAAGGCCCTCGGTGCCACAGACAAAACCAACCAAGGCCCTCGGTGCCACAGACAAAACCAACCAAGGCCCTCGGTGCCACAGACAAAACCAACCAAGGCCCTCGGTGCCACAGACAAAACCAACCAAGGCCCTCGGTGCCACAGGCCAACCAAGGCCCTCGGTGCCACAGACCAACCAAGGCCCTCGGTGCCACAGACCAACCAAGGCCCTCGGTGCCACAGACAATGCCAGTCAAACGGTCTGGCCAGGAAATGGTCAGCTACATAAACAGACGGGCCATCGTGAAGAGGTTCGATAACCCAGGAACCACCCGAGACAGCCAGCTCCAGGCACCACCCGAGACAGCCAGCTCTGAAACAGGAAGAAATTTGATAACCAGACATGAAAATAGCGAGAAATTAGCCGCAAAGATATAAAAATGGGGAGGATGAGGAGGGGTGGGGGAAGAATCGAATAGGGGAGACAACTGCTGTGTCTTGTAAGGGGAAACAACTCTAACACAAAAAAGGGAAATAAATTAAAAATTTGATAACACGGCCACAGATGGAAGATTTTAATCAGATAAAAATAATGAAATCTCCTAGCACGTTCGCGTGGCGCTATCATCTCGACAGGCCGATCAATTAGTTACTTGTGGCTGGGGCACAGATAATTGGAACTTGATGAGAAGACAATCTTTGATCGTTGTGTGACGCTTCTGTTAGAGGGACAGAAGCTGACTCACAGCTAGAGTCATATCTAGACATTAATAGCTGAGTCACAGCTAGAGTCATATCTAGACATTAATAGGTGACTCACAGCTAGACATTAATAGCTGAGTCACAGCTAGAGTCATATCTAGACATTAATATCTGAGTCATATCTAGACATTAATATCTGAGTCATATCTAGACATTAATATCTGAGTCATAACTAGTCACTAATAGCTGTCTCACAGCTAGATTCACGATTAGATGTTAATAAATGTCACCTCTAGGCATAGATAGGTGAAGTAGAGTGAACCAGTAAAACACCAATTCTCTAGATGGTGTGTTGACTAGCTCATCAAACAAACAAAAAACGTTTTGAGCCTCCTCACTAAAGGTGGGCTGGTGACATTATTCTCTGTATGAAGGGGGATAACCTGTATCCCCGGGGAAGATAATTACTTAATGTACAGCTGACAAGGGGGATAAATCGCTTCTGTACAACCATAAATAAACTAGTAATCGTAACGTGATCTAAATGTGGGCTTAGTGGCAGGGCAGGGAGGGCAGGGGAGGGCAAGGGAGGGCAGGACAGTCAATAGCTGATGGTGGCTCTCTGTTAGTGGCTCTCTCTCTGTTAGTGGCTCTCTCTCTCTGTTAGTGGCTCTCTCTCTCTGTTAGTGGCTGTCTGTTAGTGGCTCTCTGTTAGTGGCTCTCTGTTAGTGGCTCTCTCTCTGTTAGTGGCTCTCTCTCTGTTAGTGGCTGTCTGTTAGTGGCTCTCTGTCGGAAAGATTCAGTCTGTTGCTATCAGTCCCACCCCTCCTAAATAGATTCAGATAGACTCAGATTGTTCCTATTATTCCCCCCCCCCCACACACACACATACAAATAAATGTGGACGTCCACACACATTTAGGAAATACTAATTCAATAACAATATTTTATACCTGGAAAATCTGGAAAAAGGAATTTAATTTTAGAAATAAAACTTTTCCAAGATGTCTGCTGGTTTATAGCGTGTAAACTTAACGTGTGAATGTGCAACAGGCGGTATAGCCTACAGTTACATCTATAATACACGTAAACTGCCCATTTAATCCATACATTTTATATGCAGTATTTTAAATTTAATTTTAAAATATTTTTTAAATATTAGATACTTTTAAAATATTAGATATAGTTTAAAATATTAAATATTTTTTTAAAATATTAGATGTATATTTAAATAATAGATATATTTTAAATATTAGATATACTTTAAAATATTATATATATTTTAAAAAGTTAGATATGTTTGTAAATTGTAGATATATTTGTAAATTGGAGATATATTTTGAAATTGTAGATATATTTTTAAATATAAGATAAATTTTTAAATTTTAGATATATTTTTAAATATTAGGTATATTTTAAAATATTAGATATATTTTTAAATATTAGATATATTTTTAGATATTTAGATAAATCTTTAAATATTAAAAAATATTTTTAAATATTAGATATATTTGTTGTTAGTTGTATATTTAAACTTGTTAGTTGTATATTTGAAGTTGTTAATTCTATGTTTCAAGTTGTTAGTTGTATATTTGAAGTTGTTAGTTGTATATTTGAAGTTTTTAGTTGCAAATTTGAAGTTGTTAGTTGTATATTTGAAGTTGTTTGTTGTATATTTGAAGTTGTTAGTTGTATATCTAAACTTGTTAGTTGTATATTTGAAGTTGTTAGTTGTATATTTGAAGTTGTTAGTTGTATATTTGAAGTTGTTAGTTTTATATTTGAAGTTGTTTAACTCCTGACTGTATGTTTAAAAAATGTCTCGTCTGACCGAAGTAATTTATTGCGCTAAAAAAAGATGTCATTAGTCCATCATTAATTGCACGTATTGCATGACAATATTCGTTAATTACTGACCAGCAGTCAGTCGTTAGCCCCTGATTGATGTCTTCATGCCAGTCACGGGGCGGGGGGGGGGGGGGGGGGGAATATGATATTAAGGAGAGATTGATGGCCTGATCAGCGGGGGGAGTAATCGGACCAGGTGAGCTTAGATGCGACATACACTTAGGATTAGGTCTTTTATTGGGACCTACATGCCGAGGTCTTTGACTGGGACCTGCATGCCAAGCTCTTTTATTGGGACCTACATGCCAAGCTCTTTTATTGGGACCTACATGCCAAGCTCTTTTATTGGGAGCTAAATGCTGAGGGCTTTTATTGGGACCTACATGCCGTGGTCTTTGATTAGGACCTACATGTCGAGGTCTTTGATTAGGACCTACATGCGGAGGTCTTTGATTAGGACCTATATGCCGAGGTCTTTGATTGGGACCTACGAGTACCACTGGAATTTTAGTGTGATCTGTGTGTATCACAAATGTATTCTAATTAGACACAAGCGTACGTCATGCAAGTGTTGTATTGGTCATACAGAGTTATCGCATTGATAAGGTAAGCTTGTTGCTTCCCTTGAAGCTATCGAGCGAATGATTACCCACGCATAACACCGTGACATATTTTTACTGACCCCGAAATTGTCAATCAGTAATTGTTGTCAAAGTCAACAAATGGACAAGTCAACTACTAGGTACTGGAACTATGGTGATGGGGATAACTCTAGCACTTGTGTCTATTCTGTATTGGGGGATAACTCTAGCACTTGTATCTGTACTATGGGATAACTCATGTCTTCTCGATGGTATTTGTTTGGTGAAGAAAAAAAATGGCTTTTCATGGGAGGTTATGGTAGATTTTTGTAGCCTTTTTTAAAAAAAAAGAAACTACATTTTCTTTGTAAAGAAGGAAAAATCTGTATGGAAGAATTGTCCAGAACTTTCCTGTGTAGAGATTCTCTACAAATGTTTCTACTTAAAGTCTTCGCTCTAAAATTGAAATGACTGGCCATAGTTTGTTCAGAATGTCTTTCAAAATGTCTGTCTTAAGACAAACACAAAATGTCAGCCAAACACAAAATGTCAGCCAAACATAGAATGTCAGCCAAACATAGAATGTCAGCCAAACACAAAATGTCAGCCAAACATAAAATGTCAGCCAAACATAAAATGTCAGCCAAACATAAAATGTCAGCCAAACAATCAAACTGTCAAACTTTTTCCCCATCCAGCACATTTAAAACACATCAAAATTCTTCAGTCGGTTACCGGCTTCCCTCCCTTGCAAGATTTGGGTGTAAGAAACGAGTGCACGTGTGTACAAGGCGATAGAACATTCTGGAATGGATGGGCTGTTACAGGGCTCTGTTGTACACAAATCGGGTGATGGATGGTGGTGTACACACGGTGGATGTTTGATGGTGATGTACACACAGTGGATGGTGGATGGTGGTGTACACACAGTGGATGGTGGATGGTGGTGTACACACAGTGGATGGTGGATGGTGGTGTACACACAGTGGATGGTGGGTGGTGGTGTACACATGGTGGATGGTGGATGGTGGTGTACACACAGTGGATGGTGGATGGTGGTGTACACAAAGTGGATGGTGGTGTACACACAGTGGATGGTGGATGGTGGTGTACACATGGTGGATGGTGGATGGTGGTGTACACACAGTGGATGGTGGATGGTGGTGTACACAAAGTGGATGGTGGATGGTGGTGTACACATGGTGGATGGTGGATGGTGGTGTTGTGACCTACTTAGGTCGAGTCATTTTTATTTTGACATTGTATAATTCCTTATATGGAATGATGGTGTAACACCTGGGGTTTTTCCATTGACTTATTAAGGTGTTTGAGACATAAAAATTTTCCATTAAAATCTGATTGAATGATTCTGATCAGATGATTATCCCAACCAATGGCGACATGAGTTGAGGATAACCTCCCCTGTCACAGAAGTCTTTAATTGCACTGCACACTCGCAACACGAGGCAGTTTTTCTTGACCTGGCAGTCTACGAGGCCGTTTTACCTTGTTCAGGCAGCCGTCCATATTGTCCGGCTATAGACTCTGACCATTTGAACGTGAGAGTACTTAAGACCTGTGTGTGCCTTGCTTTCTTCAGTTGATTTAGTCTTCTAGTTTAATATTACTTGTCGCTAAGTAAGTCTAGAAGCTACAGCAGTGTTGTGTGGCCTGTAGCTGTTCTTGAGACAGTGTAGAAATCTGTGATAGTGATTTTTCCTACATTTTGTAAGTTGGGTTTTTGATATTTTATACATTAAATATTTTATCTAGTTCATCTTTGTGTTCTGCCACAACTGAGTTCGCTGATTAAAAGGTCGTATGTAGATTGGATGAGTGTTAATTACAATAGTATCACTAGCTCCCCTAGACATTAAATTCGAGCCCTAGTGGGTCGTTGTGTTAAGTGTTCATCCACTCAGGCCGTAAGGTATTTGCATATGACCCCGAAAAAAGAATCCGGGGACGTTCTCCTTCTATTTAGCTGATAGATAGGTTAACGTTACAGTGTACACACAGTGGATGGTGGATGGTGGTGTACACAAAGTGGATGGTGGTGTACACACAGTGGATGGTGGTGTACACACATTGGATGGTGGGGTACACACAGTGGATGGTGGTGTACACACAGTGGATGGTGGTGTACACACAGTGGATG